TATCCTAGTTCGCGTTTGACAGTTGGGTCACCACTGTGGTACCTAGATGCTGCCGATTGTGGTGGTATAGTGGATGCGATCTACTCGCCATAGAATAAACTAGTAATATAACTCTCGCCCATCCGACCACAGACGGGCAACCATGGATAGCTGTTACGTGCTTTTCGGCAACCCCTCACCATGGTTCAGGCTTGGTCTCAGGTAGGAGAACGGACGAAAGCTGAGTACTTGTGGCCGGTTGGACGAAAGCTATATTCTGTGTGACTGTCTGTCCGCTGATCATTGGCCCGTCTATAACTTGGAAACTATCTCTCGGATTTTGATGAAATTTTGTCCAATGGCACCGGCATGAATAGTAAAAGACGGAACAAAGTAAAAATCAATCAAACTTCGGTGGAGTGTATATATATATATCTCATTTTTTTATGTTACTACGATTCCAGCCCCGGTAATCATACTTACTCATTAGACATATTTCACACATCATAGATTTCCTCATACAAAAAAATATTTTCAGCAGACGGATCTCGTATCTATTGTTCGCAGTTGCCGTGTGCCACGGGGATGTAAATATTGAATCTTTGGTGGTGACTTATAGAAGCGGGTAGCAGACGCTTCTCGATGCTATTGCGCTACATCGAAAATTGTACTAGAGATCGTTTTGAAGTTGTGGGAAGCATAGAGTCAAACTACTTGACGCCATTTTCTTATATATGTATCGTGTAACTCACACCAATACGAAAACATTACAATAATTGTAAAGCAAGTTCTTACAATTGCACAATTCGTAGCGTTTGTGTTACAGCACCCAGGTAGGGATATCTGTATATTGTGAATCGGTCCTTGGAATCGCTAGACGCATTAATTTCTGGTACGCCGCCTCTGAGCTTGCGCTGGTGCGCTCTTTGAATTGCATCTTTTATGTATCGCCCAGGAGATACAATGCGGAGGTCCGAACTATGCGACAAGGGTATTGCTTTTACATCGCTCATAAAAGCGAATTCCAAAATCGTGCGGGCAAATAAAAATCTACGTGCCGACGGACGCCGCAAATCGGCCGTTGAACAGGTTTGGCCATGCCCTACGTAAAATATGAAACCACCGCATACACATTTCGAATATGCTCCGAGGCCATAAATAAAATTGGCTTTATCGGCGCAGGGGATATAGAAGTGTAAACATGGACGAAAAAGTTTCGTTTTGTAACACTTTAATCCATCATTCGGAACGTGACGTTGGGCTCATAGCTCACTGAGCGAGACGTACGTTGTAAATCACTTTAAGGTTCCACGAAGGGACTTTCTAGGAGGTTTCGAAGATCAAACAGAAACGCAAATAGATTAAGAATCGCTGGAATATTTGAAATTATCAAACACACAAAGATTGTTCGAATAAGCTTACTTCAGGCATTGACTAATGCATTCCACCTGAAAATACCCAATTAAAATAGTCTGGAAATGCCAAAATGGATTGAAGATCCTACCGTCATCTACGAGTATATTACACTAGTGGAACCAAACACTCTTAACTATTTTCATAATAGGTTTCTAAATTATTTTTGTGTTCTGCTTGTGTCTCATAGATCTAGTAACTACTATCTTCCAGATCCCTTTTAGTGCTACGCCACTGCCGAGGAATTATTGTAATCGCGAAAAATTTCGAAATTGAGATATATTTTTTGAATGTTACGTGACATGTATATCACAAAAAACCATGTCACTCATTTCCGTCGCTCTGTTTGACTGCATGTCTTTCTGTCCACTAATCCTAGATCCCTCTATAACTTGGGAATTTCCGCTCGGATATTGATTAAATTTTCGCATAAGGTTACTACGATGCCAAGGACAAAGCTTTAGAGTTTCTGAAAATTGGTTCAGTGGCGGTGAAGCTAGGAATAAAAACACGAAAAAAAAATAATAAAAATCTCTCAAACTTCTCTTTTTGACGATTCAGTCTCCTGATCATTTTCAGAAAAAAAATTGTAGGGGTTAAAAATTGAAGATTGGGGGTTTTAAGGAATGGGCGAGGGTATATCTCAATTTTTTGATGTTAGAATATTACACTCAGTTCAATTTGAAACCTATATTTTGTATAGATTATGTTTCATATATGATGCCTTTGGCTTATACAGGAAAAACCAATTTTGTCTGACGGCTTGAGTTCAATGTGTACGAGAAAGAAGCGCGAGAAGTGTGTATCAACGCATGTTAGAAAGAGATAGAAGACGACTGAAGATCGAAGGTCATCATCATTGCCTAGCAACGGTGATTTCACACATTAGGTAGACGGTCGTAGGTGGTGGACGGTCTCTGATTGTCGAACGCGGAGGTACCACTCGGCGGATCTCTAAGGCAGACGTGTTGCCTCGCTAGCGCCCGTGTGACGTCCCCCCTTTTCCATGTATCGCCCTATAGCCCCACGGTACCCATGGGTGCTTAGGCCTTAGGCCTTCGCGGCGGATCAAGTATAAAAATAAGCATACATTTTTCCGTACATTTGCCTTTGCCGAAACGCGTGATGCTTCTGCTCTCTGTGTTCACCGGCGGGCGTGCCGGTCTGGTTGACTGTTCTATACCTAATCAGATGTGGGAAGGGGAAACATTGCCAGAAGTACGGTACTACCGGAAAGACAGGGAAAATAATGTCTATGGACAAACTTTATTATTCATTATTATTAGTATTTATTTTTGTTTGACTGACTCTATCCGTTTAATTTCTTTATTGCACTTGTTCGTCATGTTCTCGGAGAGTTTAGCTTGGGCTCAATCCTTTATGAACTCATGACGGCGCTGTGTCGAAAGTGCACTTGACGCCATTTCTTGGATGCTGGAAAATGGTTGGCTATCTTCTGGTAGAATACGTTGATCAATGGTTTTACCCCCACGTTATTTCTAACTTTAGCTTAAACGTACAACCAAGACTTCGTGTTCTCAAGGGTTATGTTTTCTCTGTTATAATTGTAAAAGTAAGAAGGTGACAATTTATCACTGTACAAAGTGGTCAAAGAAAGCAGGGGTATTTTGGCCATACCTTGCGAGATGATAAAAGATACAGCTTGCTGACATTCACCATGCAAGAAAAATAAAAAGCAAAGGGGGACTCGGAGGACATCGAATATCATGGTTCAAGAACTTAAGGCAGTGGACAGAAAAAATATCAGGCGAACTGTTCAGGGTAGCAGTGGATAAGGTCAGGTGACCCTTAGCGATAACCAACGTCCTACAAGAAGATACATATTCCAAACAACACAGAAGTAGTTGTTGAAGGTAACGAGTGTGTGTCTTATGTGGATCTTGTGGTATGTCCATTGAAAGACGGTGTACGTCCATAAGACTATGTACGTACACTTTCCGACAGAAAAAATATACGTCCACAGTACGAACTGACTGTACGTGCAGAGTACGCAGTTACTGTACGACCAGAGTACATACTTACGGTATATCCGATGTATATATAACCGGAACATACTATGAATGTACCATTTTTCGAAAACTGGAGCTCCTTTATTGAAGAAATACATAAAAATAAGACCCCTCATCCCTAAAAAGCGAGAACCGTTCTAAAAAACTAAGGATGAAGCAATGTTGTATTAAGGCTGAACTGGACATAAGTATATGTCGATATTAAATAAAATAAATACGATAAAATACCTAAAATTCAAAAGCAGTTGTTATAATTATACAGGATGACTTCGAAGTTGAGTCATTTATTTTAACAGTGAGCAGATCTGATCAAAAGAAATGGTTTTTTTCCTTTAACATTTTTCTGGTAAAATTAAAGTAACAAAGTTATAGCCCTTTAGAGGTTTGAGTACCGCCCTGTCTCAATAATAATATTATGTGCTCGTGTTTGGCAACAACGGATACAATCCGCCTTATTGGTTCATCGCATCGGAAACAAAAAAGCGAAAGAATTTGAAACCCTTATCACGATGTTTTTACTACAATTTTATTGAGTTGTATTCAGTCAATGTGTCGGTAACGCGTGAGTGAATAGTGGTGTTTGTTGCGTGGCTCAAGCGAAATAAAAAGTGGCACATGTTTACGAAAATGCTGAACTTGTGGACATGATTCTTATTTACGGGGGGGGGGGGGTCTATACAAAATGCTGCCGCGGCATCACGGATTTATGCGGATCGGTTTCCCAATCGAGTGCAACCAACCCCTCGTGCCTTTGTTAATGTAGTACAAAGGGCTCGTGAATCAGGTGACTTAAGACCTCACAGGGGAGCGCATGCCGGATGCCGGTGCTCCAAGACCGCACGATCAAATACAGGTCCGCACTGAAACACTTGTCGGGAGGATACTTTATAAAACAAGGTAACATTTTTTTTTTATTTTTTTTTATTTTTACACACATATTTTGGTTTATCTTCCTTCTACAATCATTATCTGAAAATTAATGACTCAACTTCAAAGTATATACATACATTTCAAAACTATGTCAGTATTTCTTATTATCCATTCGGTCGGTCAGGCTTCAACATGTTGATGCTCTTAGCTGCTTGTTCGTAACGCTTGTTGAGTTTGGATTTGTCCATTACAATCTGATACTTGAAGCTTTTTGTCGTAGACCTTAATAAGCAACCTTCGTCTTTTTTTAAGGAACAACTCCATAATAACCAACTCGTTTTTAGTGCGTTTCTTCTGTGAAAAGGAAAATCTCTACGAGTCCCGGTTGCTTCAGGCAATTCAATACATTGTACCATCTGTCATTGCCTGACATTATGTGAGTTACTCGGTGTGACTTCGATCATTAAGCAAAGCATTATAAAACGAAAATCACAAACCATGGCATTATAATCCCTACCCTGTAAAATAAATGGAGATTTTCTTTTTTAGAATAAAATGTGCTCGATTGACCCTCGACAATATTCGATCACAGCAAGCAGCATATACCCACTTCCCTAGCTTCCTTTGTTTCCTTTTGTTTTCTATTGTTTTTATTTCCTTAATAACGTCTTTTGTTTTGTTACTTAATCCCCTAAGGTTTATTGTTAGGTGGCTTGGCTGAGATTGCACTCTTTTGTGTTCCTCGCCAACTTGATGTACAGGTAAGCTGAGATCAGAGCGCGATAGCCGTGTATCTTAGCCTGTTTTGCTATAATCATCGATACGAGTATTAGTACAGCGGCGTATTAAACATTTTTTGGGTTAATTATGTCGCATAGCAGTTATAGTCCAGAAAGTATCTTCAAGTCTGCTCCGAAAAATATTCTGATTCTTGCCTCAAAAATTGTCTAAACAATTTTTAAACAGTTTCCAAGAATTGTTTTTTCCGTTCCATATAGTTTTTTGGTTTTTTGTATCATTAGGGACAAAAAAGATTCTTCCGAGATATAAGGGATTATGTATTTGAAAAAAGGAAAGTATGTGATTTTCGATTCCGAAAAGTATGAAAATGTTGGTGTTGCTAAAGTTCCTAATTATTCTTCAAATTTCCGCTAACAAAATCCGAAAGTATGTTAGGGGATGGTTTTATTGCCAGTTTTACTTTCCACGCCTACTGGCGTGACATGTACATCACGAAAAATCATGTCACTTATTTCCGTCGGTCTCTCTGCCTATCGGTCTGTCTGTCCGCTGATCCTTGGGTATACCTTAATTTTTTGACGTTGGTATATTTATATGCCCCCAACCCCAGTAATTCTATGCACGTATGAGCCACACTTCACATATCAGATTTTCCCGTACATTATTTGCCTATAAAACTTGATAGATACGCGTGCTGCTTTTGCTCTCTGTCTTAGCCGGAAGCCAACAACAAACTATGAGAGAAAACCTGTCTTATATAATTTTGCAACATTTCAGTTGAAGATTGCATAACAATTAACCGGTACGTTACGACAATAGTTCTGGGTGGGTTTTTTTGTTAGGGCTTTTGGCGTTTTCGGGACAATGGACATGGGTGACGTATCTGTTATATTAAAAAACAACGGGCAATCCTAGGTTATGCTGGTTTTTCGTGGTGGTAAAATTCGGAATGATCGCGTTACGGGACCTTCAGACTATTGTAGTAACATACTGTATAGGAATGGGATAATGAACAGGAAACAAACGAACTTTCACCTGGAAGAGAGTTAAATGAAATATATTGTTGTTGTACCGAAGATCACCTTTGTGATGAAAATGTTTACATTAAAGAAGATTCTGTCAACACATGTGGTTTTATTGGCCAAACAAGCATCGGGGATTATAGAATTCCATGCTATCTGCAAATTTGTCATAAAAATCTAGGGGTTGCCTTACCAATAACATATAAGATTAACATGAAATTGACTTTGATGACAAATTCACATTCGGACGTGACATTTCCTGCTTTTTCCAAGTCCTGGATAAAAATGAGTTTTTTTTTTGAAATGTTGACCTGGAAGTTATGATCATGGTCATTGTCAAGGCTACCCTTGGGTGATCCCAACAAACCTTGCAGCTGTGCTGTGGAATATTTTTGTAAGAACAAATTGTTTTCAGTGACTCCACTTGACCATTAAATGACCTTGAAAGTCAAGATTTTGGTCGTATTTGAACGTAGAATTCCGTCTTTGCAATTATGGTGTAAAAAAGACTTGTCTTCAAAATGACCTTGAAGGTCGTAGTGAGGGTCATGATCAAGGTCACCATCATTTAGCCCCCTCGAAAGCCTACAACTTTTGATTGAGTCATTTTTACTAGGACTGGTAGTTTTCGTGGGGATATTGGAATGGGACATCTTGTATAAAAGAGAACAGAATGCAGCCCGCATCAAATGGTTGTTAGGTTGTGTGAACTTAAGGCACTGTTAAAAAGAGGCGTCGACTAGGTTCACTCTGCACGTCCCGCGCAACGCCTTTAGCGTATAAAGGAATATGTTCAGCACAAACTAGACCCTCTGAAATAAAAGTCATTCGAACAGGTTCATACAATTTGTCCATAGACATTCTTTACCTGCTCTACCGGTAGTGCATCTGGAATCGTTGCCTCTCCCCAATACCTAATTCGGGCAGACGTGTCACCGTGGGAACGTGGTCAGAGTATAGAAAACACTACGCTGTTGTGCGACAGAAATTCGTGCGATTCCATACCAGAACACTCATGACGATCGGCGCACGACATCAGCAGGAGCCGCGGAGAATATTTTTTTAGTTTTCGGGGCTAATGTAGTCGTACATGTGTCTAATAGGCGGGTAGAATTAGCAATGTTGGGAGCGTATAAATGTACCAGCATACGAAAAATTGAGATAAGCTCGCCCCACCCCTTTACAGCACTACCCAAGTTTTTTTACCTCTAAGATTTTTTCAAAAATGATCAGGATCAGGATCGATTTTTACTTGTTTCGTTTTAGATCTTTACCTCTGCACCCACTGGATCGATTTTCAAAAACTAAGTGTCCTTTTCATAGTAATAACTTTGTGTAAAAATTTCATCCAAATCCGAGCAGTACAGTTATAAGTGGTTGTAAGATTAGCGGACAGACCGGCAGACAGACAGACCGACGGAAATGAGTGACATGGTTTTCCGTGATTTGCCTGTTATATAACATCCTAAAAACATGATATCTCATTTTCGAAAATTTTCGCTGTTACAATACTTCCCCGCCAGTAGGCTTGGGAAGTGAAAACAAGGCGCATACTAACTACTCTTTGGATGAGTACTTGTCAGATATCCTGATAAACGACCAATATGTGTAATTCTGACAGTATGGATTCAGGCGCGGATCCAGGGAGGGTGTTAGTGGTATGATCGGGGACCGACGGCAAATAGTGCGTACTATAACTGTTTTGCGAATAACATAAATTACTGCAATTATTGACAAATAAAATACGGCAATGGAAACTTTGAAAGTTGCATGATGACTCAGAAATTAATATCAAAATTTAATGCGTAATGTCATGTTAGTGCAATCGTACATCAGACTGGTTTTTACATTTGATAGTGCGCACGGGCGGGGGCAGGTTGTAATGCGCATCGTAATTTTTTGAAGTAAATCAAACTTGATGATTTACCAGCAAACTTCTTGTACATAATAGAGTTTAAAAGTTATCACGGATGCTACCGATAAGTAAAAGGTGTGGAGTCAAATTTGGATTGCACTCTATTTATAGAATTTGCATAAAATTATAATTAAGAAAAAAAACAAATATGATCGATAGTTGTTGTCATGTTTGCCGTGATTAATATTTCATTGAATACAAACTTGGTGAACAACACTAAAATACGTTAAATAACGTGCATTACTACAGGATATATACTGGGCACTATTTGCGAAAGTGATATTCTACAGATTTATCGCTATTTGCAAATTAATGACGGCAACTGAGAATAAAAAAAACAGAAAGACCTCCACAAGTAACCGAAACAAGCTCATGGATAGTGCAAAAGGTTTTTTTAATAGTAATTTGATGCAAAAAGTTAATCTGATGTTGCTTCGACGTGCCAGTAAAACAGCTAATTCAACGGTTTCAATATTCACGCAGATCTAAAATTTTTATAAGCATTGAAGACATGAAAAGACTAGAATAGACGCATTAGAGTCTTTATTAGACTAAAAGAGGCCGATTCATACCATGAAGATATTTACTGAACATTATATGCCAAGTAATAATATATCACTGTAAGCACAAAATGAAAAAATAACCCCTCCACTCCTTGAGAAATAACAGGGTCATTCGGTCATACGTTTAGAAATGAAATAGTCATTTTTCAAAAAATGTCTTAAGAAAAGAAAGAGAAATTTTCTCATTCAAATTGAATGATAACGCGCTGTTTCATAAACATTACTCAGATTTTCATTAAAAGAATATAAAAACACTCTGATTTCTTGTTATCAATTTTACACTAGAGCTGATTTTTGCTGGCGGGGCACTGTGACCACCCTTCCTTGGGGGGCCCAGGCGGCAATGTCCATTTTGCCATTACTTAAATCCGCCACTGTGACGGACAAAACCACAAAAAAGTTGTTGCACTGGAATCAAAGGAGATATTAGTATTAATATTAATCTATTCGCAGGAAGACAAAAAAGAAGATTTAATTTTGTTATTTATCAATAAATTGTTCATTTTTAAATTAGACTTATTATTTTAATAACTTTTAAGCTGTACCCTAAGGGTACAAGGGTAGGGTTGTCAAATTTTTAATTTTTACGTCAGAGGCACTGATGAAGGTTTTTGACCAGTGTGACGTGACTCCCCCCTCCCAGACACAAATCCTGGATCCGCCATTGTATGGATTATGGCTATCACTGTGATGCCCGTGTCTCAATTTCAACTGTTACCGTTTCTATTCATTTTTATGTCATGTTTTTTGAATTTTATCTATTTTATTCATTTATCTATTTTAAACAGAGCAATTTTTCAGCCTGTATCTACCACGTTATTTCAATGTTTGTTTTAGTTAAATGCTTGTCTATTTTTGTGTTATATTTCGATGTATGAATCTTTTGACTACCATATACTTTATTCTATTGTACTATACCATTAACGTATTCTTTGTTATCGTATGATGATTTGACTGAACCAATAAAGAAATGAATGAAAGAATATACAGGGTGGGCCATAGAGGTGATGACAATTTCCATATTCAATTAAAAAATAACTACGCAATATAAAAGAAAAATAAGTTTATTTTTAAAAAGTAGAAAGATAGGTATTGTTAAGACTTAAAAATAATGTTGTTCAAATGATTTCCTCCGGCTGCTTGGCACCCTTCAAACCGAAGCTGCAGATTTTGAAAAATTCGTTGAAAAGTTGTTCACGGTATTTTGTTACTTTCTTAAGCAATACTCCTCTTCAGATGCTCTAAAGTAGTTGGATTGTTCTAGCAGACCACCGATTTGAGGTAGCCCCATAGGAAATAATCGCATGGAGAAAGATCGGGGCTACGTGGTGGCCATTCAATATCCCCCCTTTTTGAAATGAGTTTTCCGAGAAGCAGCTCTATAGATACCCTAGCTGTATGACACGTGGCCCCATCTTGTTGAAACCACATTCTAGAGGTATTGCCTTGGAGTTCTTGCAAAAACTGTTGCAATAATTATTAGCTTTAACTGTAATCGCTTGCCCTCTTTCGTCCTCAAAAAAGTACAGACCAATAATACCGGTTGACGTAATTCCAGCTAGTTTAGGGCTGTGAAGTCGACGTTTATGCAAGCGTCGGGGATTAGTTTCGGACCAGAACCTACAATTTTGTTTGTTAACATGGCCAAAGGTGAAAATTGGCTTCCACTAAGCATCACGTTGTTAAAACTGTTGAATCGGTCGAGCATCAAATTGACAAAGTTAAGTCGGTTATTGGTATCATCTGGTTTTAATTCCAGGGCTAGTTGAATCTTATAGGCCTTCAAATGCAAATCACGCTTCAAAATTCGCCGCAAGCTCGTTCTTTTGATGTCCAAAGCCTGACTTCTCTTACGAGTTGACTCTTGCGGATTTCGCTGAACTGAAACACGAACAGGCTCTATACATTGTCGGCTGATCTTGCAGAAACTGGACGACCACGAGCTGTTATTGCTACTGTCGAGCCGGTTGTTTCGAACATTCTGATCCATTTTCGTATCACATCGGCGCTTGGAACTTCTCTTAAATCGCGTTCATGTCGACACAAACGTCGTACAGTAATAACCGAGTTGGTTTCATAATACGCTCAGGCACAAAATGCACGCTACGCTCCCGTGTACGGCTCCATAACGTCTAAATTTCCAGGCAACGGCGCGGCTAACAGCTGATCACCTCCCAACCCGCCCTCCGCGTTTGCGAGAAATTTAAGATTTAAATCACTAACATTCTTATGGCCCATCCTGTATAATGCAAATCAGACTCCGTCTTGACGCAGAATTCAGGTAATATTTGCATCCCAATGAATTAAAGGATAGTATCCTCCAAATCCCAACCTTAATCTTCTCTTCCGAGGATCCTTCCTGCAATCCCCCGGAGGCGTCGTTATCGCGTCCCGGCGGCATACACCATCAGCGTCGCCGGTCGCCGTTTCACCGGCACGGACCGCGCCAGTTCAACCGCGCCCGTTGCGGAGCAAGTTCGCGAGACGACGCATCCGGAAGCTTACAACACGTGCTTCGCGTCTGTGCTTTGAGTGGATTGAGTGCTGGGGATACAGTGGAGAGTGAGAAGGAAAAGGAGGATGCCGCCACGTTGTTGCTGGGGGCAGTAGGGAGGAGGCGACGATGGCGCCACGCCGGCTTGCAGCGGCGATCAGGTGAGTTAGGGGGTTGAAGCTTACAGAGGATGCGCAACCACTTGTTTGGAAGGTTTTTAAAACGTTTTGGGGAACTGAGTTAACCTTCGCTACTAAGGATAAGGTATAGCAACCGTTGTGAGGGCTTGAGCTGTACGGAGCAATGGCGAATATAGAATCTCTGGGACATGAAGCATCTTGAAAAGTCACCCCATGTTGGTTTTCTGACATTATACAGGGTTATCCAAATTAAGTGTCCACCATTAGTAACTTTGTTATTAGTGAAAATACAAAGTTGTTTGAATTAGCAAACTAGTAGCATTTTTAACGCTGGTAAAAATGAGAAATAAAAAAAACAATTGAGAGTCGTTATTTTGATTTTTTTCAGTAAAATAACATTTTTTTAAATGGAAACCTCTGTATATTATATTTTTTTCTGTTAAAGCATCAAATTTTAAACAAAAAAGTTCATAATGACTTTTCCGCTAAAGTCAAAAATAAAGTCAAAATAACGATAAATATTTTTAATTATTTGCAGTATTATAATATTAAGACGGCTATGAAAACAACATGGCGTTCGCGATTTGACAGCATTAAGATAAGCGACAAATTGTTAAACTGGACATACTCGCAACTAGAAGGCTTTGGAAAACAATGATAAAATCAAATAATGTCAAACATTAGTGTAAATACTTGTTTATAAGCTTTATTGTGTCATTAATTTAAAGAAAAATGTTCTCCCATGAAGAAAAGTGTGATATGTTAGAATGCTATTTAGTGTGCAGAAAATCCTCCTTGAGAGCAAGAGAATACTACAGTGAATTATATCCCGCTCGCATTCAACCGTATGAACGATATTTTCTGAGACTTTATCGAAAATTTAGGGGCAACGGAAATGTTTTTGCTAAAACAAGGGCAAAAAAAGAATTCATAATAAGCGAGGCCACGGAAATTGCAGTTATTGGATATTTTGAAGCTTATCGTGAGAATTCAATAGCAGATATTCTCAAGGACTCTAATTTCAGTTATGGTACTGTTCAAAGGATTTTAAAAAAATACAAATTTATTCCGTATAAGTACCGACCAGTTCAAACGCTTTTGGCAGGGGATCCAGAGAGAAGACTTGTTTTTTGCCATTGGTATCTTAGCTTCTGTCGCCAAAATGTAAATAACTTTCGTTACCTTTTATGGACAGATGAATCAAATTTTTCAAATTCTGGAATGTTTAATAGAAAAAACCACCATTATTGGTCAAGAGAAAATCTTTTGTTAGTACATCCAAGAGGCCCACAAGTCCGTTTCAGTTTCAACGTTTGGTGCGGTATAATTGGTTCAAAAATTGTTGGCCCGTTCTTTTATGAGGGAACCCTAACTGGTGAAAGATATGTGGAATTTATGTCAGAAATTCTGACTAATTTCTTAGACGAATTGGATCTTATAAGTAGACATCATCTGCATTTTCAGCAAGATGGCGCACCTGCCCACAACTCCAGAGGTAATATCATTTTCTAAGTACTACTTTTAATGATCAGTGGATAGGAACAAATGGCCCAATACAGTGGCCTCCCAGATTACCAGATCTAAACCCACTTGATTACTTCTTGTGGGGTTACTTAAAGAACCAAATTTACAAGCGAAGGTACGATAACCTTGACGCGTTAAAGACTGCAGTTAGGGAAAAGATAACCCAGATAGATGGTAGGACCATTCTTAAGACAGTTCGAGCAGTTGAAAAACGTGCCCAAAAATGTATTGAAGAACAAGGTGGTGTTTTCGAGCATCTTCTTTAAAAAAAATTGTTATTGTATTTTGTAAGATTATAAGTTGATGTTGAAAATAAAGTTTGTCGATACAATTTAATTGTTTCAGATTGGAGGCCATAACTTCAACAATTTGTAACCTAGGAGAAAAGTTATTGTAAGCTTTTTTGTTTAAAATTTGATGCTTTAACAGAAAAAAATATAATATACAGGGGTTTCCATTTAAAAAAATGTTATTTTACTGAAAAAAATCAAAATAACGACTCTCAATTGTTTTTTTTTATTTCTCATTTTTACCAGCGTTAAAAATGCTACTAGTTTGCTAATTCAAACAACTTTGTATTTTCACTAATAACAAAGTTACTAATGGTGGACACTTAATTTGGATAACCCTGTATAGGAATTTTATGACATTATGTAGGTTCGCCCATAAGATATTAACTTGGAACTAGCTGCTTTTTACTTGATACGCTGTACGTGTGGCCTAAACGTCATGACGCGTGATCTATCACGGCTTGGTTCGGATGTGATGTAACATCTGCTTCAGAGATGGCATTATTTCAGGTCTAAGCTGTAAAATGTATACTTTAGCTGGAAGGAAACGGGCGAAATGGCAGTGCATTGGTGCTTAGTGGGGATTTGTGTGCAAATCATCTGTGTTGATGATAATTCCATTGGTTTCTTGTCTCAAATACCCTTACTTGGGATGTATTCTTCATTCTTCTGGAAATATCAAATGCAAATTTGCTGAATTTTAAAAATGACAGGGATGAAAAAAGAAAATCCTTGGTTGGTGAAGTATCTCAGAACAGGTGAGGAAATAGGCAGGAATATTTACGAAACCTGAAATGGCTATTACATTTTACATTACTTTCAGTCATGAAATTTTATAGAAATTTATTTTGTGAGTTTTATTTACACACGGGGCGCGGTGGTGATTTGCCGTAACTCTGCTCAAAGTTTTTGAAATCGCAAAAAACTGGAAAAAATAGTAATTTATGACCTTGAACATAACCTCTCTGGAGCAGCTAATAGGTGTATTTCATGGGCAGTACATTCAGCAATAATTTTCTCACATAGATTTCATACCCATGCAGATCAACAGACACAATCATCCAGATGCCATCTTGCTACTCAACCAATTTTCATTTTGTCACATTTTCCCTGAGATATACGAGCCCCTTCCCACTTCAGTTGGCCCACTTCAAGATTTGTACAAAAATATGTCTTTATAAACTGAACATGACGAAACTATTTACTTCTAAAACAATTTATTTTCTCAAGAACATTTTAGATACACTCTAGTCGTAAAAAATACATATTTGAAATCATTTAGACATATAACTAATAGAGCATCTGACAAATAAACAATGTGCGAATAATTGCGCGAAGTTAAAGAAGCAACAATTGAAAGATCACCATTGGGTAACATCACCTTTATTTTTTATTACGGCTGAAATTCTTTGGGGCATAGTGTTATCCAAGATTTGGCAAAAATTTCGTGTAAAACCATCCCATATTTCTTGAAGCTTTTGTCTCAGGTAGGTGATTGTACGAGCAGGATGTTGTCGTAGAACCTTTTTCATCTCGTGCCACAAAGTTTCAATAGGTGACATATCTGGACTGCTAGAAAGACTCCTTTTGATGACAGACTGCCCCAGACCATAACGGATGCTGGAAATTTCACTTTTCTCTTCAGACAGTCAACATGGAATGCTTCATTATTTTGCGAATAACTCTACTGCGACTGTCACCAACACAAACTTCGAATCGGGCCTCATCACTCCATTGTATTGCATACTATTGTTGAGGTGTCCATTGTCTATGTTCTTTAGCCCATCTAAGCCGATTTTATCTTTTGCAATGGAGTTAATAGTGGCTTTTCTTTGGCCTATAAACAAGTTGTGCAACTTTAGGGTTTTTACTTCACTTTTTTTTATAAGAAAACTTACCTTGCAAGTGATAAATCCCAGTTTGTGGGCCTCTCTATGAGATGTGGACCTCAAAATTCTCCTTCCAACAGCGTCACTCCACAAAGCACTTAATTGCAAATAATTGGCATGCCTGTTTTTCACTATTATTCTTCTTAATGCTCTTAGGTCGGCATTTGTGATACTACTTTTTTTCACATATCGTGGCTTAATATTAACTGAACCAGTTACGTTATATCTTCTAACAATATTTCTCACACTGTACCACGATAAGTCTAACTAAGTTGCAATTTCTGAGATTGATTGCCCAGAATTAAAAAATTTAATTATCAGTAACCGAATTTTCTCACTAATAACCTTTCCTCTACCCATTTTGAAAACCTTAACTACCCAAAACTATTTTAAACGTATTCTGACAGCTGTGATTAATAAAAACAATTGTCATGGCTTTTATTTTTCACAGCCACCTATGCGTTATAGACTTATTTTGCATTGAAATGAAAATAGGTTGATCTGCTGTAATTGCAACATGTGTCATTTTTAAGCTGCAAATTTGATTAGGGAGTGATAAAGTTGGTGTTTTCTACTATACAGTTGAGTCATTAATTTTCAGATAATGATTGTACAAGGAAGATAAACCAAAATATGTGTGTAAAAATAAAGATAAAAATTAAAAAAAATGTTACCTTGTTTTATAAAGTATCCTCCCGACAAGTATTTAAGTGCGGACCTGTATTTGATCGTGCGGTCTTGGAGCACCCGCATGCCCTCCCCTGTGAGGTCTTAAGTCACCTGATTCACGAGCCCTTTGTACTACATTAACAAAGGCACGAGGGGTTGGTTGCACTCGATTGGGAAACCGATCCGCATAAAGACTCCCCCCCCGTGAATAAGAATCATGTCCACAAGTTCAGCATTTTCGTAAACATGTGCATTTTTTATTTCGTTTAAGCCACGCAACAAACACCACTATTCACTCACGCGTTACCGACTGACACATTGACGGAAAACAACTGAATAAAATTGTACATTGTAGTAAAAACATCGCTTCAAATTCTTTCGCTTTTTTGTTTCCGATGCGAGGAACGGATAATGCGGATTATATCCGTTGTTGCCAAACACCAGCACATAATATTATTATTGAGACAGGGCGGTACTCAAACTTCCAAAGGGCTATAACTTTGTTACTTTAATTTTACCAGAAAAATTTTAAAGGAAAAAAGCATTTATTTTGATCAGATCTACTCACTGTTAAAATAAATGACTCAACTTCGAAGTCACCCTGTATATTATCAAAATATTCATTGTTAGTATTTCAAACCTATAACAC